GGTAACGAAATACACATTAATTAAAAAGATTCTTGGAGATTTAGTTAGAAAATTCAAAGTATAGGAAACTGAAATTTAGGAAATCCTGTGAAAAGTACATTATAAAAGGCCATATTTTCCATTCACTTCTCATTAACCTCTGAGCTTTCGGTTCGCATGCAGCTTTCTCTAGCTGAATGGTGAAAAATATATATAACATAGTGCATATAGCATTGTGTGTCCATGAAAAAGTTACATGCAATGAATAAAGTACTGAATGAATAAAAACGATTGCAGACAACACTAATAGTAGATTGCACAAACACACGTATACATTATGTGATCACAAAAGTATCTAAACATCTGTATTTTTAGCTTTTCCTGCAAGTCAGTCAAAACATTGTATGAAGTTGGGAGATATTTTGTTTCTGTAACAGTTACCCTTCTGTGTGGATTGATTGATTGAATATTAACGTTGCACTGTTCAGCTACACGAGGGCTTTTGGCGACGGACTACGTAATTTTGAACCATGGTCAAGTGACGTGGACGACACCTGAGCTGGCACCCCCCTCTCCTAACTACCACACCACACCAACGGGAGGACGTTTCAGCTCTCGACAGATTTAACGTGCATCGCTGCTCTACACGACGGGTCTTTAGTGGTACTGGGCTCGAACTCGTGACAAGGCACGCCACAATCCGATACCTATACTACTCGGCTACCGCGGCCCCCTTCTGTGTGGAAGACTATCCACTGATTGTTTTAATGTTTCAACACAAATCGTCTTCACTTTTGCATAATAAAACTAGTGAGCTCTTTCAGAAATTTAGAGAGTAGTGGCCTTGCTCGAAGTCAACGTATTTATTCGTCTCGAAAACGATTTTGAAATTCAGGTCTGGGTTTTGATCAGGCCTTTTCAAATCCTGAACATTCGTGTCAACAGACCACTTATATACTGAATCTGTAGTATATAAAGGAGTGCTACCTTCATCCTAATTACCCCAACTTCAGGGCTGCCAATAGAGAGCTTTCTCTCTTATTGCAACCAACCAATGTTGTTGCCTCTACTCCAACAACCAGTACTTCCCGCCAAAATACTCAAGATCTCTCCCGCTGAAGCCATCAAGAACACCTCTCGGACTCTGACGTCATCCAATTGCCTTACCCTAACACCCAATAAGATCTTCGTCTCTACAAATTCATTGAACTTTGTTTTCCCATCCATGACTCCCACTTGTTAGCGCAAAAATACAATTTCAGATAGAGGATGAAGGATCTTTTATAGATCAATATCCCTGTGATGTGAAGAAACCTGAATGTAAAGGAGCGTAGTCTTTTGAAACAGCAATGGGCTTTTTCCGAATAGTTGTCACAATGTAGGCAGCTCAAAGTTGTCCAAGATGTTGAGATATGCTTTAATATTGACAGTTCCCTGCACAGAAACCAAATGGTCCCCTTTAAAACACATCATCTAAATTATTATTACTACATCTGCAAATTTCACCAGAACACAATATAGTAAGTTTCAAAACGTTCACAAGACATTCTCTACAAGCAGATTCCCTTCCGACTAACAATTATACACCTTGTTTTGTAGCTTCAAAGCTGTGATATCATTACTGAAGGTTTCAGAGCATTAGAATTTTGCACCACTGTAATCGAGCTTGACATTCATTGTGGCAATGTTATTTACTAGCATAACATTATGAAAACCAAGATTTCGATGTTTGGGAAGAACTGTAAGTTTGTTCATGTTGCATCCAGAAAGCTTTTCGAATTCCTACCAAATTATTTTGGCCGAATCTATGCGAATGATTTTATCACTATCTTCAGTGTTTTATCACAGGGTGGACAAGTAGGGTTTCATCAAAGTACTAAATTTAAAATAAATTGAAATGAAATTTTTTTTCGAGTGTTAGTGCCCTATGTACTTAGACACATATAGAACATATGTGACATTGTTGCGTATTTGCGTGGGAAAAAGGAGCCAACCACACCCATTATTTCAATTATAAAAGAGTTTATTAATGGAAAAGGATGAACAAATAATTACACAAAGACATATCGATGCACTCACACAATAAAATACAGCAATATATTATTTACAATAGTTCCAAACGCACTCTTTATAAATCAGCTTTACAATGTTTCAGAAAAGCCTCTCTAGAATAGTTTCACTAGTAGGAATTCAGACAGATTTAGACTCTCTCTCTTGTTGCATTCAACACAGAAGGAGATTCTGAGCTCTCTTCTGAACTCACTCGATCTTTGGTTGAAAGATCCT